CTGCGGGGTGGATGCGGGCTCCCTCCTAAAGCGCTGGGGCTCGGGGGGACGCGGCGTGCCGGGGTGTCCCCGTGCTGAGCCCCGTGTCCGCAGGACCCCCTGACCACGCTGCGGGAGCACTGCGAGCAGACGGAGAAATGCGCCAAGGCCCGGGAGCGGCTGGAGCTGTGTGACGCGCGGGTGTCCTCCCGCTCCGATACAGAGGAGCAGTGCACAGAGGAGCTCTTCGACTTCCTGCACGCCAGGGACCACTGTGTAAGTGCTGCGGCGCTGAGCAGAGCCGCCTTCAGCCACGCTGCTGACACTGCTGCCAGGTTGAGTGTGAGCTGTGGTGGCTGTGCAGTACCGTTTATTTGTTGAATGTTTGGTTCCTCCTTGTTAGAACAGATCTAGCTGGCATTCGGTACATATTAAACAATTAAATAACTTAAACCCAGTGTTTGCACTCTGCAAATGGGAGCTTGGCTGTTTCTGTCTTGTATTTGCCATTTAAAAGTTAAACCTTTTGAACTTGAGCTAAAGCTTTGTAAGGCATCTCAGTAGCTTTCTTCAATGACTTACTGCAGAATGAAAGCCAGGGCTGTGGAGCTGTGTGCATTTGTGGCTCAAAAACCCAAGAGGCACATGGTGACACCTGGCTGATTTTCATCCCTAAACTATGAGTTACTGAGGGCTCTCTTTCTTTGCAGGTTGCTCACAAGCTTTTCAGTAAGCTGAAGTGAAGGGGGGCATGGTTATCCATCTGCTTCCACAGCCAGTGCCAGCGGTTCCTGGATCACAGTTCTGCTTCCTGCAGTCCATCCTCCATGCTGAGCATGAATGAAGCGGCTTCCTGGCAGCCTGTCACTGCCTCTGTGCTCCTGGAAGATGTGCAGCTGTGCAAAAAAAATAACAAAACGTGTTGATGTTCTGTAATTTTCCATATTAAACATTGAGAGTTCCTGTGGAAGTGCCCTGTGTTCATTTCCTCGTTCTCATGCTTCTGACTTTTACTGGGCTAAGATGAAATCAGTGAGTGTCAGAGTCCAGGTAGGGGCGGGAGAGTTTTCCTCACTTGTGGGGATGTTGTTTTAGTGCTGCCATGATGGACAGCTGCTGCAGCCCAATCCCATGGGGAAGAATCTGTTGGAGCACAGAGATTATTCCTAAACCCTACAAGAACAGAGTTCACGCTAAATATTGTTCAGTGACAACACAAGTCAGTGTTCCAGGTTAGACTGAAGGGATTGACCCTTTTCTAGGAAAGAAAAGTTCCTCCCCACCCTCAGGACAAAGCTGATACCTGTTCCTCACTGTCTCCTGCTTCTGCCAGCAGCTGGAAGAGCCTGCTGGCAGCAGCCAGCTCTGCCTTTTTGCCCAGGAAACCAGCCACGTGGCTCTGGAGGTGCATGGGGGTGGTTCACCTGCTCTAGCCCTGGGCAGGGTCACCTGGGGGGAGCTAAAGCCTTTCTGTGTGAGCTACCAACCCATTCTGCTCACCCTGAGACTGTCCTGTCTGTGCTCTGCCTGCTCCTTTAGTGAGAGGGAATGTTCAGGAGGAGGAAAACCAGGGTATCTCACGGGGCAGAAAATTTCTCGGCTATTCAAAGTGGAATGAAAGCCAGCACCTTATCAATTTGGCTGTTCTTTATCCAAGTTCATGGTCCTTTTGCTGGCAGATTTCAGACTTTTATTAGGTTAAGCATACCATGTAAATTCCAGTGTGTTCTGGTGTGGTTCGTTTTTGTCTTTTTTCCTGTGGCACAGAGGAGGGTCCAGCTGTGCCTGTGCATTTCTGCTGCAAAGCGCGTTTGTTGCCGGATCCTTCTCAGCAGCTGACGCCCAGACCCAGCTCAGTAATTACCGGACAAACGTAAAAAGGTTGGAAGGGACCTTAAAGATGATGTAGTTCGGTCCCCGCCAGGGGCACGGCCGGGGTTCCCCGGCTGCTCCCGGTCATTTCCAGCCGCTCTCCGGTTGCTCCCGGTGATTCCCAGCCGCTCCCGGTCATTCCCAGCCGCTCTCCGGTTGCTCCCGGCCCTTCCCAGCCGCTGCCGGGCCC